AAATTAAATTAAATTAAATTAAATTAAATTAAATTAAATTAAATTAATAATAAAATAAAATAAAATAAAATTATTTATTATTTATTATTAATTGTTTTATTAAAAATTATTTTTTATTTTATAATTTTATGGCCAAATTTTGCGGGGGGGGGGGGGGGAAAAACGCCCCCCCCCCCCCCCCCCCCCCCCCCGCGCAGAAGCAGCGGGGGCGGCAGCGGCGACGGGGGCAGAAGCAGCAGCGGTGGCGGCGGCGGCGGCAACAGCAGGAGGTGGTGGGGCGGGACTTTTGGGCTGCGGCTGCCCGCCTTTTCTGTTGCTCGCCTCGCCCCCGCCTCGCGCCTGCCTCTCCTCCTCCTCCTCGCTGGATCTTTCATGAAGGTTGGGGTGGGCGTTGGGCCGCATTACGAGGCGACATGGGCCGCATGCGGCCCGTGGGCCGCGGGTTGGACAAGCCTGCCCTATACCATTTTTGACAAACGACAGCCTAATCTCTTCTTGAAAGCTTCCAGTGATAAAGCTTCCACAATGTCCGAGGGCAGGCTGTTCCATTGGTTGATTGTTCTCACTGTCAGAAAATTTCTTCTTATTTCCAGGTTAAATCTCTTGTTCGGTTTCCATCCATAATTCCTTGCCTGGCCTACAAGGAATTAAAAAGGCTTGGAGACTAAAACATGAAGAACAGTTGAGGGTTTGGGGTTGTCTATTCTAGAGGAAAGGACTAGGGATGATATACAGGGTTGGGATTCAACTGGTGTTACAACCGGTTTGGTGAGAGTGCGTTTTGTGCCTGATGTGTGCTGTGCGCATGTGTGCAGCATTTGAAAAAAATCAGCTGTGCTTCCCAGACAGCTGACAAGTGCTGCATGGGTGTGCGCAGTGTTTGAAAGTCGTTTCCTACACAGTTCAGCTGTGCTGCGCAAAGCAGCTGAGGTTGAAAAGCAGGAAATAAAGGATAGCCAAGAGCCCATGTTGGTGAGTGGGCCAAACAGACGACTAGAAGGTTGTCACAGCAAACTAGTTCGGTGACAACTGCTCTTCGGAGCTACTGGTTCTATAGAACCGGGCCGAACTGGTAGAATCCCACCCCTGGTGATATAGCAGTATTCCAGTATTTGAGGGGTTATCACAAAGAAAAGGGGGTCAAATTCTCCAACACACCTGAGGGGAAGAAATAATGTATGGAAACTAATCAAGGAGAGAAGCATAAGCACACCAACGTGCCTACCGTCCCTGTCCTATTGTTTCTTTTATTTTTCTTATGTGTATCCATGTATTCATAACTATGTTTGTCTTGTAAGCAATTGACAAACCTAATTAAATAAATAAATAAATAAATTAAGGAGAAATTTCCTGCCAGTGAGGACATTTAATCAGTAGAATAGACACCCTCTGGAACAGTGGTCGCCAACCAGTGGGGACCACTGGTGGTCTGTGAGAAAATTTTGATGGTCCACAGAGAAATGTCACCCCCAAAGCACCTCCCCAAAGCACCCTCCCAAAGCAATTAATCCAGGCTTTGCAGGAACACAAGGCTGCGCTGCCCACATGATCCACGGGAACATAAGGCTTGTGTTGCTTGTATTGCGAACAACACAAGGTAATGAAGGGAGGGGGGAAGGGTGGAAGGAGAGGAACTTGCCCCACATGCCCCACGCCTGGCCACTGGGATGCTTTCTGCTTCTGCTTTTGGCTGCATGCAAAGAAAGTAGCAAAAGTCTTTCTTTCTCTCCCCCAAACTCCGCCAGAAATGAGTTTTGGGACCCTGCAAGGCATCCTGCTCCAAGAGGCTGCACCGGCGTGACAAGTCTCACAAAGACACATTTCTGGCAGAGTTTAGGGGAGAGAAAGAAAGACTGCTGCTTCTGCTGCTTTCCTTGCATGAAGCCAAAAGTCTTTCCCTCTCAGAACGGAGCTGGAGACTATCCTGCGATCCCAAATAAAGAATGATCGATTGGTAGGAAAATGGGGTGAGGAATTTTCCTGCAGACTTTTTTTGGGATTTTCCCAGGGTCTCTGCTGCTTTCCGCAGAGACCCTGGGGAAACGTCAGCAAGCCACCATCTGTCAAAATTCATATTAGTGGTCTGCGGGATTTAAAATTATGAGTTTGGTGGTTCCTGAGGTCCAAAAGATTGGCGACCCCTACTCTAGAAATTTTGGGTGCTTTATCACTGGAGGTTTTTAAGAAGAGACTAGACAGCCATCTGTCTGAAATTGCATAGTTCTGCTTGAGCAGCAGGTTGGACTAGAAGACCTCCCTTCTATAATTCTAGAATGGGAATGGGACCTCCCAGGGGAGTCCTTTAAGCCAATTCAGATGAGCGTCAACGTTAGAAAAAAAGAAAATGAGGAGATAGGAAAGTCTCCTTCCTTTTCCCCATTGAAAAAGCTCCCTTTCTACCCTTCCAGCTCTATTCCAATTCAAATGATTCAGATTGCACCAGGGGGCGACCTTGGATATAAGTACAGAAAAGGCGCTTCCCCTTTTGGCCACTGGAGGGCGAAGGTTTTGGCTGGCTTTCCAGAGGAGGCTGAGGAGGGAGGGACATCCCTGAGCCTTGCCTCTCTATAACATTAGCATTTGCTCTCCTTAACCCTTGGAGCTCCGACGGCGGTGAAAAGGCTGCAGGAGAGACTTGCAGGGGAGGAATCCGGGGTGGTGGGGAGTGGTCTTCCCATGCAAAGAGAGGCTGAGAAGGGAGAGAGATACATGCACAACCCTCTTCTGAGTTCAATCCTGGATCGAGTGCATGATGGAGGAAAGCACCAGGTTCTCAAAAATTCAAGCCTGGAACTTCAGGAGCCTCCGATACCAGGAAGCTGAAGGTCCCCGAGGACTTTGCAGCCAACTCCACAACGTTTGTAGGCAATGGCTGAGTCCAGAAAAGCACACCAAAGCCCAGATGCTGGACCTGGTTGTTCTGGAGCAGCTCCTGTTCCTTCTACCCCCAGAGATGGAGAGTTGGGTGCGGGAATGTGGAGCAGAGACCAGTTCCCAGGCGGTGGCCCTGGCGGAAGGCTTCCTCCTGAGCCAGGCGGAGGAACAGAAGGAGCAGGTTGAGTTGGAGGTGAGGCACTTTAGGGAGCTCAAAAGGGAATAGAGAATGTGTTTGAATACTTCCCAATATTCTCTGGCATTTACATGTGAAGATCATCCACAAATTCTTGTAGGACATTGTTCCATTGTTTTCTCACTCAACCTCACTGATGGATTTTGGGGGCTTTCAGGCTGTGTTCCAAATATAAGAATCCACTTTATTTTGTTTGACGTACATTAATTCTGCTTCTTTTTTTCTTTCTCTGATTTGAAGTGCTGCACTGTGGAGATGAGAGATACTGAGGGAAAGAAGAATTCATCAAATCCCCCTCAGGAGCTATTTTTCAGGAGGATCCCTTGGGAAGACCAAAGTCGGGACACCTCAGGAGGTAACCGAAGATCCTCTGATTACCCATCTGTCTTACCTTCACTATCTCTCCTCTTCTATAAATACCCCCTTCTATTTTGTTAATTATGCATTTTGAAATTATTCCTTATAGAGAAACAAAGAATGAAGTTTTCTGGTTTTTCTGATGAAGCTCAAAGACTGGTTGAACCTCCAAATCAAGTAAGAAAGGGAAAATTTGTATTCCTTCATGAAATAAAGTGGGTGTGCAGAGTGCTCCCTCCTTCTATTTTCTCCCCTTGTTTGGACTGGATTATTTTGGTGTTCCTGAGTAACATAGAAAGCACAATAGTAGG